CTCTGGGGACTGCACTGAGCCCTTCTTCCGGCCCGTGGCGCTCAGGAGCAGTTACGGGAAATCGGGGCTCGCGAGGCCGTGGCTGGCACGTGACCGGGGGCGGGCCGGTCAGCTCCGCTCTCACGGTCACCGTCTGACCCCCTGGGGGCCAGAGCGGGAGAGAGCTGTGAGCTGTGTCTGGGGCGTAAGGTCCAGGATGCGGCAGGTGAGGAACGGCAAGAGCAGCGGCCGGCCAGAGGCCCCCAGTGCCCCTCCCAGAGAAGCCGCCGGCCCGCCACCCCCGGCTCTCCTCTCCCGGTCTCCCTTCAGGCTCCACGGACGTCTGACCGCCCGCCGACCGCGTGCTCAGCACGCTAGGAGCACAGCACCCCTGCTCCAGACCCCGCCCGCCTCCTTCATCCCGCTCCTCCTCGGAAGGGGGGCGCTGGAGACAAGTGGGTTCCCCTCCAGGTGCTGCTGCTGTGCCCCAGCGGCCACATGGTGGGGGCAGCAGACAGGCGGGCCGGGGTGGCCCCGAGAGCTCCCAGCAGCCCTGCCTGCCCTCAGCCGCACTCCCATGCTCCCGGGGTCCCCCAGCACCGTCTGGGCCGCGTGCACAGCCGCCTCCATGAATAAACCGTCTCAGCGTTCTTTGTAGACTGGGTGTGCAGCGCTCAGGGCCGCCGGAAGGAGGGAAGGGCCCAGGAGACCCGACCCGCCTCTGGCCTCTCGCCCCAGCCCCACCGCAGGCACGGAGAGCCGCCCCAGGCTGAGAAGGACCCAGGGCCCCAGCCTGGGGCTCCCTGAGGTTGCTTTGGGGTCGGGGCTTTCCCCCAGGCCCCCTCCTTCACGTGGTCACCAGGCAGCTCGCCCTTGCTGCCTCCTGCGCCATCCCGGGCTCTGCTCCTTTCTCAGGGCGCCCAGAGGGGCAGGGAGGAAGAGCCTTTGGGGCGGCCCCCTCCTTCCTCCGCCAACCCGTTCTCGCTCCCCAGTGGGGTGCGTTGGTCACCTGGGCCTCCCATCACTCACCCGGGCAGCGCGACTTGGGTCCTGCCCCCACTTGGGTGCAGTCAGGGGGAGCTGGCCTGACACCCACAGTCACCCCTGAACTCTGACAGACATTCGATACCCAGGCGGCAGCCCAGAGTGGGTCACCCGAGCGGGGTTTTGGGGGCTGAGTAGGAGTTTCCCAAAGACCCATGAAGGGTCAGCCTGGACGGAGGCCCAGGAGTGGAAATCCACAAGGCAAAGCGGGGTCCGGCTGAAAGCAGGAGCTGCCCAGAGGCAGCAGAAGGCTTTGTGGAGCCGCCTGGGGCAGGGGTGGGGGGGGAGAAGTCCTCTGGCTTCCAGACCCACCCTCCGCCCCCACAATTCACACACACTCAGGCCTTCATTCTGCTTGCAGAGGAGGGGGAGGAGGAGAGGCGGGAGCTGAAACACAACCTATTCATGTCCCGGGGACTAACACCCCTCATTTTCCATGCTGGGGAAAGACAAAAACCCTTGACAACCTGTTTCTGGAACTTGCCAGCAGCCGCCAAGAGGAGCATGTTAATTAAATGTCGGCGAAGATGGAAGCCGGAGGCCCCGGCTCTAATTGGACAGTTTGCTTCACCCGGTTGAAAAACATTTTGACAAAGGAGGAGGTTGCGGCGGCTCAGCGGGGTGCAGCATGCCAGGGAACAGCGGTGCTTTGAGGGGCTGGGCCGGCCTCCCTCCCCCAGGGGAGCGCCCGCCCCCAGGCACGCCCACGGAGGGCCTGGCTGAGGTGCGGGAGGGTGGGAGCACCCAGGGAGCCCACTGCTGTCCCGTGGCCAGCATGAGGCCCCAGGACCAGCATTTCAGGGCTCAGCCAGGGCCCTTCCCCGTCACTGACCTTGGCGGGGGGCCGGTGGCCTCCAGGCAATGCTCAGGCTAGGGGGCCCGTGCCAGGGAGAGACTTGGTCTGCGCCCTGTGACCCAGACCGAAGGGGCCACTGGACGGAGATGAGCTATGAAATGTCCGGGGTGGGGGGAGGGGGCCCCCCCTGCAGCCCTGCGCGGCCCGCCCCTCTCCACACCGCCTGCCCCTGAGCAGGTGAAGGCTGGGCCCACATGCTGTGCTGGGATAGGACCAAGAGAGCCCTCCCAGCCTCCCCCACCTGCCTGGGCCATGCCTGTCTTTGGGGGGCGCCTGAGGCCCACAACCCCCCTCCAGACCCGTGTGGGGAAAGGCACAGGGACGCCAGTGTCTGTGCTGCCGGCTCCAGCCGGCCAGGGGTGGGGGGCAGGTGGCTCGCAGGAGCGCAGAGAGCAGGCTGGGCAGAGCGGCCCCTGTTGGGGCGCCTCCGGCCTGTCCACGCCCACAGGCGCCGTGGCTCCAGTCCTGTCAGCCTGGGCCCAGCTGCCCCCCAGGAGCTCACTTTGGGGTGGAGGCCAGCCTGGGCCGAGGGCACGAGAGCGGCGCTCAGGGGCCTGGCATGCGTGGTGGGCGGAGAGCCCCCTTGCCAGCTGGGCCCCAGGGTGGGGCGGGCAGGGCCCAGGCCCCCCACTGGTCTCGCCCCCCAGGCGCGGCAGCCCACAGGCCCGGAGGTGGAGCTTCTGTGGGGAGCCCCCCGTGGGGCTGGGCAGCTTGGTCCTTGGGTGCGCCAGGATAGTAAGTAGCACCACGGGGTTCCTGGCCTAGGTGGCGCACCGGGGTGGGACACCCTAAATTAGATGAGCTGTGAGTTCAGGGCAGTGACAGCCCCCGGAGTCGGGGTCCCCCCGGGGGTCCCTGGGATGGTTCTGGGGCAGAGGCTGGGTGACTCCAGGTCCCCTGGCTGAGCAGCTGAGCCATGGCAGGGCAGGTGGGGCACTGGGCCCCCGGGGGGGGGCAGCGTGCCCGCGGAGCGCCCCAGGGAGCGGAGTTGAGCGCGGCCCTCCAGCGGCTCCTGGAGGCTCTGCACGCTGTAATCAGATTAAGGGGCCAATCACTTAGGGTTCTTGAGAAGGCCACGAGGTGTCTAATCAGCAGAGTGCCCAGCCCGCCAGGCCCAGGAGGAGCTCCGGGCCGCCGCGGGGGGCCGCGGGGGGCCCCCTTCCCTCTCTCTGCACTCACGTCAATTGGCTAGCCACACTGTCTGCTCGGCGGCCGGCTTGTGCCCCACTCGTGGTAACGTGGGGCCACAAGCCTCTGGGCTGGCAAATGGGGGAGCAGTCCGCCGGGGGTGGGGGCGGCCAGGCCTTGGGGTCCCTCCCCTGCTAGGTCGCCTGAGCAGTGGCCTGACACCCCAACTTCCCGCCCAGACCCACCCCCAGGCCCCTGAGGCACGCTAGCCGCTGTGTCCCTGGGCTGGGGCACGCAGCGCCTCTGTTTCTCCAGCCATGGGGTCCCGTCCACCCTGGCTGCTCCCCGCTGGGCTGACCTGGCGTGTCGGCGTCCCTGCGCACGTGGGGCCCCGCACCCCTCGAGGCTCCCGGCCCCCGACCCCAGACCCTGCTCACTCCATTCTGGGGCTACTGGCACCTGGCCCGTGGGGCGCTGGCAGGAGGCCAGAGTGGCATGGGGTTGGCACAGAGAGAGATGGGGCTCCAAGCAGCACTCACCACCCCAAAGGGGCGGAGGCCGGGGCTCCACGGCTGGCACCACGTGGCTGCGCCGCCGGACGTTCTCCCTTCCTGGAGCAGGTCCGGCCCGTGGGCAGTGAGCCCCTGACCTCCAGGCAGGTGCTGGGAGGGAGGTGGGCCAGGCAGCCCCAGGACCTTGGCACTTCCACGGCCCCAGCAGAGACAAGCCAAAGCCCAGGGCCGGTGCGGAGGGCGGCGGACGGAAGAACTCACAGCCACCTCCCCTGGGTGCCAGGCCCAGGCCACCACTTCGCCTGACAACACCGGCAGGGTAGGCGGCTGCAGCCCCTTCAACTGCCACAGCAGGCGCACAGAGAGGGGGAGCGACTTGCCCGAGGACACACAGCTGCGAACGGGCAGGCTAACAGCCAGCCCCGGCCCAGGGCTCCGGCTCGGCTCCTGAGGGGGCACGCAGAGCCCTGGGGTCTCGTCCCCAAGGTCACTGGCAGAGGCGGAGGGCAGGTGGGTAGGAGGAGTCCCGAGAGCAGGCGCTGGGAGCAGCCACGGGAGCGGCCACGGGAGCGGCCACGGGAGCGGCTGGGCCCAGCAGGCCAGAGAGCAGAGCCCAGAGTGAGCCGCACGGAGACGACCGAGTAGCCGTGCCCAGCCCCACCCCGCGAGTGCCCACCTGGAGCCCACGGGTGGACGCCTGCGCCGGTCCTGAAGACAAGGGCAGGGCCCAGCTTCCGGGAGGAGGCGGACAGCACTCTCGGCTCAGGAGGCCGGAGCCGGCAGGGCCTGCGCAGGGCAACCTTGGGCTCCCGGAGTGGCCCGTAGAGTTCAGCTCCCAGGCTGGGCTCTCGGCCAGGGAGCCAGGGGGCTGCTGGGAAGAGCAGTCCAGGGGAGCTCGGAGCGGCCTGCGAGCGCCTGGCTCCCTGGGGGAGCGCACACAGGCTGTCCCCGGGCCAGGCCAGGCAGACACAGGCCTTCGGGCGCACGCCCCCGGGGGGCCGGACTGGGGAGGTTGTGCCAGACACCCAGGCCCAGGGTGGGAGAGCTTCTCCCTCTCCCTGTTGGCCTGAATAAATGGTGGGCATTTTCCTGCACCAGAGTTCCTTTTGTTTGAGTTTGTAGAGGTGGAGAAAGTAGGGGCTAGTGGGGGTGAGGGCGCCAGACTCAAGCGTGAGGGTTCTGACCCCAAGAGGGTTCAGGCCTGTAACGGTGAGTTACGTTCAGGGCACAACAGCAGACACCCCGGTGTGACCTACAAAGGCTCTCCCACCTCTTTCCCCTCCCACCTTACAGTCCAGAGAGCTGCTCTTTAAGAGCGTGGGGGTGGGGAGGAGAGCCGGGGAGGGGCTGGGCACAGCTCGGCCCACCGGGCGGGCGGGACAGGCGGCGGCCATCACTCGGAAACTGCGTTGGGCTCAGCAGCTGGAGCCACTTTGCCTGTTCGCAGCTTGAGCCGGGCTCCGGTGGGCCCACCCGGCCTGGCCCCGCTGCCACAGCGGTGAGGGAACCAAACTTAGCGTGGACGTGGATGTAGCTGCCAGCCCACGTAGACGCTCTCGGGGTCCCGAGGACCG